CTTCAGTGACACCTCTCTTATTCCAGTGATCCCGCCTCCAAACCCTGCCTCCAACCGCCTTCAAGCCGGAAGCGATGCTACCGGACAACTAGCATGAAACGCTTCATTGTCTGTGGGGGGTCATACGGTGCATTACAAGGAGCCATCTGGCTGGTCCGTACAATAGTTCGGGCCTATTGAACGTCCTGTTATAGGCGTTTCCGGTACTTTCTCGTTACATACGAGTCTCTTGGCAGCTTCTACTCCATATTTCAACACCACTGTCTATGCTCCATATCGCGGACCGTGCCTTTCAAGGAGGGGTCCGCGATGACCTATGAAAATGCAAGAGGTTATGTGGGAAGGTAGTGCGGTCCGGAGTGGACAACCCTGTGCCAGTTTCGCGGCGGAAAGTTGTACGGTAAAGGGATTAAGGCGCAAAGTTGCTTCAGTGGTACATCCCTTTTCCAGTGACTCCGCCTCCAAAGTCGGCCTTCCAGCCAAAAGTAATGCTCCCGGGCAAGTATCATGGAGTGGATGCATTCATGTCTCTTGTAGAGTCATAGGGTTCATTACTGGGAATCAGCCGACGGGAATTGTCCCAGCGCGCGGTCTTTTCGGTCTTTTACCTCTACAGTTGTTTGAGGCTAGAGGAGGCGTTTCCAACGTTCCCTTTGGCATTTTCTCTTCACAGGTGTTCACTTGGCAAATTTTCTTCCCATTTCTACGAAATCACTTAGGCTTTTTATCGCGGACTGTGCCTTGAACCTTCCTGCAAACTGATGTCACTTGCCGGAACTTGCTCCCCACTGTTCCTGCGACACGGGCGACACGGGCCACGAATTTCGAGGATTTCCTTCATAGGCCCCTTATCAGCCTGTTATCACCTTCCTCTACCTACCACATCACCAGTTCTGTGCTTTCATCTTTATTACATATCAATTAAAACGTTCTGTGGCATGATCAACCGAAACTGCAGGGGTTCAAAAAGACACTTTTCTCCTTGACTTTCAAGGCGCTATAAGTTACACTTTATTAATTCTGATTGGACATTTCCACCACCATATTCAACAGCACATTGTACACTATCATGATACTCCGCCACAGCCTTCTGGACGAGCGCCATCGAGAGATTCTGCCACGCGTGATTCGGTGCCTGAGTTCAGCGAGATCGTTGATTTCACCGGCCATTAGACCACCTGGTTGAACTCCGCCCGAACCGGGTAATTGAGGGGGTTTAGGTCAGGTGACACACTTGGATATTCCGTCTTCTTCAGGTACTCAACGCCCTTCCATTCCAAGTAGGCGAGAGTTTTTCCAACGCCCTTCGATTCCATGTGGTGGCACCCAATCCTGTAGCAGTACAAAGTTTCCAAGAAGGTATAGGCGATGACATGAAGGCAGGATATTCTCCACGAGTTGTCGTAACTGTCAGCGTTCACTTTCAGTCCGGGGTCCACGAAGAAAATATCGGTCTTCACATTCCAGGAACTTCCAACCCGCGCCTTGGCGACTGCGGTGAAGATGATGTCCTAGACCGTAGCGACGTTGTCGGAGCTGCTCGATGATGGAGGTCTTCCAGATCGAGAGTACTGGTCTCCAGGTAGCTATCCATGGGTGACTCCATACTAGAAGTTTCGCAGCTGTTTGGAGGTGACATGAATTCCAAAGGTCTTCTCCAGTCAGGCTGCGACTGGAGATGACTTCATTTGGTGTACATGAAGGTGATGGGCGAGAGCCAGCTCCTGCTTATCGAGGAACATCTTGGGTATCTTCCGCCCTGGTACTCGTATCCACGTCCTCTGTCTGGGCTGCGAAAACTTTACTGATATGTGACTCGGTCGAAGTGTCTTTTTTTGCCCTCCCCTTGTATAGTAGGATGATGCCTGGCTTTGGAATCCATCCCCGTATGCACCTTGAACCATTCAAGGATCTCTTCTGCAACGCAGTTTGCGGCGCTAGGCTTGAAGGGGGCATTCAGCGCTTTCGTTGGTGCCTTTTATTACTCCAAGTTAACGAACAAGTCTCACTTTAGTCAGACATGGAACTTCCTGTGAAAATGCGAAACAGTCCAGCTGAGCCACTCTGCCCGCGGAAATTTACAGATCATTGCAAGATAGTAACCTTAGCAGAGTACCATTTGGTGCCCACACCAAGTCAAACTTCGCCCAGTTTGAAGCTATTTGAAGATAAGCCAGCCCTGCCCATCCTTCTGGACTTCGACGCATCGCGGCAAAACCGCAGCAAAAAAGCGTTATAGACGCACAACCCTTCAGCGACGAGCGCACTTCCTGTCGTGGACACAAATCAGAATTTCCAGGAGACGACGAGCAGACAAGTATCCTGTTCAATCGCGCTTCGTCACAAAAAAATGCACTGCGTTCGGCCATCACGTCACATATCACGTTTTTACTTCTAAAGGGTAGAAGAACACATGCATGACGTGATGTCATCCTGCTGCAGAAAAACTGTTGAAGATAATAAGAAAAAAAGAAACAGATGATTGGTGAAAATGGGGCCGTTACACGGGACAAAACCGGTTCTCAAATGTACATATGTTTCTACATGAAAATGTGATTTGAAGCCATCGCTCTTGCCCAAAGACGTTGCACTTTACGTCCGATTTCGTGAAGAATCGCAAGGACGGTCTATAAAACAAGGGGCGGAACTCGGTCATCAAAGCACATCCACATCTAATCAGGTCCAATTCTCATTCTTATCCCATTCACTCCCCTAAACGACTTTCAGCTCCGCCTGGAGGTACTTAGGAGTCGGAAGAGGTTTCTTTCTCTATTAAATGAGTTTCCGCCTGGTGCTATGATGATATTCTGAACTGTGAACTGTAACGACTGTTGTTTTTCATCTGCTCATTATGTTCTTTAAATGTCCTGGATATCACCCTTTCTGAATTTTTATTTGTTCACGTGCTAGTTCCAGTAGTAGTCAAGTCCCCATTCGCAACAGAAGGGGGGGGGCACTTTGCACATTTGCTGCTTCCCATCGACGTGTCGACCCATCTAGAGAGCCTTTTCTTGAGTTGACAGGTTTACCATGGTGGTTCGACGAGCTTGCTCCAGCTTCACAAGAGTTCACAGGTTTCACCAGAGTGAGACTTGTAAACCGGAATAGTGAAGCAGCGAAAGTGCAAAATGCCCTCCTCACCTCTGTCGCCGAACTGCTCCAGTAGTAGGTTTTACAATAGTTCCACAGCACTGGCTGAGGTGGTTGATAGGTAACTTTT